TTTCGAAAATTTTTGAAAATATTTGTTGATTCTAAATTTTAATAACTTTTGAATTTATTAAATTTTTCGAAATTTATTGTTTAAAACCCGGTTCTTCATATTAATGTGAAAATTTTATTATATAAAATTTCAATGTAAACAAAACTAAAAATAAAAGCAATATAAAAATATGCGATGAGATCAGCACATTTTAAAATAAAATTGAAAAATGTACATAAATGAACGAATAGGGGGAAGTGCTTCGTACACACAAGTTTATAAGTCAAAGAATTGAAGAAGGTTACATTTCAACCTACGAATCAAAGGATCTAAACGATATCATCAATTTTAAAAATGACCAATCGAATATGTTATAGTTTCCTTTTTTATAAGTTGAGTAAAAGGCTGAAATCAGTCTTCAACTCTGTTATTGGGATCAGTTAAAATTCAAAGATAGAATCTCGAGATTTGCATGACGGCATAGAGAGCGACAACTTTACACTTTAATGAAAACAGTTAATTTTTCTGGCTTATGTGGAAAAGAGAGAATTTCATATGATGACAACTCAACAATGCCTTTCTTATTGTATGCAATGCGGTCTGTAATTAAATGGTATTGCAAATGTAAAACTTCAGTAGGGAACTAATATAGATTTCATGAAAAAAACTTTTCTAAACAAATATAAAAAATGAATTGAATTGAAATTGAAATGAAAGTAATAAATACATATGCAGTCGGGTACACCCAGCAATATGTGCAGTGTGCGAGAACAAAGGTGGTTTTTATTCAATTTGTAAAAAATTCCAATTAAAAGTGAAATTAACAAAAATACGAAAATTTTTTCATATAATCGCAGTACAGACGAGTGGAATGAAGATAAGTACGTTCTACATAATTTTGCATGATGATTTTAGACTTCAACATTAGGAGCTGTTATTTGATTTAGGATACTCTAAAATTCTATCAAACAACTTTTACAGAAATCCAAAAATCATTCATGAACTTCTTTCATTTTTTAAACATTTACAGTTTTGAAATTGCATATGGCATCTTGAACCTTAATAACACACAAAATTTAAACGCATGTCCAAATACAAAAAATTTTGAAATATTTTTTCATTGTCTTTTTTTACCTACTCGGTAAAAACTTTTTCTTAGTTTTCTTAGTTAGAAAAAATATTGGAAATTATTGCAGTTTCATTTTAAATTTCTGTATGAGTTTGATTCAATTAAATTTTACATTTTAGTTTATTTTAATTGTTGGGTTTTTGATTGCAATTTACTTGCAATCACGTAGTAACATTTAATTAATTTGTAAATTTCAGGTTTTTATTTCCAAATTTCAATTATTTTTAAAGACAAAGTAGGAAAAAAAATTAAAATTAAATCAGAAGATTGACAATTGAAATATTTTTCCTTAACAGATCCTAGATTTTAATATTTTGAGTTATCAGAAATTTTTTTAAAATTTAATTTATAAGTTTCATTTTTTTTTAGAGATTGTGAGCACTCGACTGTAGTACTCGAGTAATACAATTAATTATTGACTATTTCGCGTATAATAGAATTTTAGAAAAGAATCACATATTCAAGCCATAAATGAAAAATTTTATATATTTACTCGTAGACTGACCATTACAAGCCAAGAAATTTAACTTCAACGGCTGAGATTTAAGAGTTCATGTAGTTTCGTTACGACTTTACAATAACCAAAGCTTTGAGTTGTGACACTAATAGGCCATACAGAGATTTATTTTTCTAATATTTGGCAGTTCTGAAAAAGCGATGAATACTTTTGCAATTACAAAAGTGAATATTTCTATTATTAAATTAGTGTGCATGAAGAAAAATTTAATTAATAATTACATACCGAATATCTAGTGGAAATTGTCATGTCAAATTATGAAAATTAAAAAAAAATTTTAAAAATCTTCATTAAAATATTGAAGTTCCTCATAAGCAATGTATGCAGGGTATTTCGCATAAGGTGGGAAATATCAAATAATTTCAGTGATGACTCTTTGATAATTTTTCAGCAAAAAATTGAATGGGTGGGGGGGGGGGGGGAGAGATATACTTGTTTTCGAGCTACAACCTGTTGAAAGAAAAAGGTACCGGACTTTTTCTGCATATAATAAAATTCCTGCAAATAAATGCTTGGAACTTCGAAATCATACAACATAGATTTATTATTGGGAGCTCGCTTTAGTAGTGATTGAGCCATAGTTTTCGAGATACAGCTCGTCAAGGTCAAAATTCTTGTTTTTGTTTTTGAAATTTTTTTTTAAAAACTCGAAATTTCTCGAAAACTTTTGAATTTCTTTTTTTTTTTTTGAGCTTTTTTGATGCGCTACGATTAGATCTAAAAATTAACACATAAAACATTTTCCTCTATCCCTAATAGTTTTTCCAGTAAAACGTGTTAAAAGTGTTCAAAAAACATACGAAAAGTGCATGTTTCATACCTAGGAAAAGTTTGATAACTTTTTTTCAACAGGCTGTAGCTCGAAAACGAGTAGGTCTGCAATTTTTAATTAGAATTAAAATTATAATTTTTGGCTGCAAATCAATTAAAAAATCATCCCTGAAATTATTTGCCACCTTATGAAAAACACCCTGTATAATGTACTTTGATGAATATAATTCAATAAATATGTACATATATGTATGTGTTATTTGAACTATTGCGCATACTTATAAATGAAAGAGTTATAATATAATTATTGAGAATTTGCTTCTTTATTATTTTTTTTAATTAAAGAAAACAATTCGAAAGTGTGACACAAGTTTGCATGAAACGAAATAGTGCAGCTCTTATATATATAATTTGAATAAATATTATATGTGATGCCAGCTGTATATGACTAATTTAGAAATAAAAATTATTAAGCGGAAAAGGAAAGAAAAGATAATTTTGAAAACGGAAGTATGTACATATGGAAATAAAAATTTGGAAAAAGAATATTTTTTTTTAATATACGTTTCGGCAGGAAAATTTTAAGTATCTTATGAATTTTTAATGTACACAATAGATTAAGTTCCGAAATTTTAATTAATTTTCAACTTTTTTTCTCAATATGAAAAAAAAAAAACTTCTATACAGCTAATTAATTAATATCTTTTCGTATTGTACAATAAAATTATTAAAATTTGCATTTTTTTTTATTTTCTTCTATTTTTAATTACTAAGTACTCTTGTTATTAAAAAATTTTATAATATTTTTCGATTGCTTTTTGAAGTTTGATATCGTAGATATCTATTTTTCTAAATATAAGTGCTCTCCAGGAAATGAAATTATCTTTAAAAAGTATGAAATCGGAATTTAGATGAAGTTGTAAAAGAGAAATGCAATATTCAGGGCTTATAGTAAATTTGTATAATAAAAGACAATTTATTTTAAGCTTGATCACGTCGAAATTAAAAAGATTGAAATATGATGATTTAGTGGTCAAATTAAATGAATGCAGTATGCGATAATGAACATTAATGCAACGCTTGTGCGCAAACCAAAGTTGTTGCAAGTGAAATTATATGTGTATATATTGCTATTAAATATGATTAAAGTTTGTATAAAACGTCAAAAACAATGAAAATTACAAGGTTGTTACGCGAAATTTAATAAATTTTAATAATATCGCACACCGTTACCATTTTCATCAGGTTAGTCACGGTTTTGATGCCATATAACATTTCTATCTACATCAGTTCATACACAGGAACAGTTTCAGATTTAAATTATAAATGAGCTACCCTTATCAACTTGTAAAATTCGTATTCGTTTTTAGTGATTGCAAAATAATTCTTGGAAGAAGAAGATAAAGTACTTTAAGTATGAAAGCGGAAATATTTTGTATTATTTACAAAAGTGTGTACAACATACTGCAAAGTACACGTGCCATTTAATATTATGCTCATTAAAATTAAAATTTATAACCAAATTTGAGATCATCATGATAACACAAATTTAATTTTGTATATAGGTACAAAGATATTTATAGAAATTAAATCGAAGTAAAAGTAAAAATTTATTGAATCAATAATCTACTATTATTTTGTATATCATATTTTATAAAATTATGTATCAGAAACGACAAAGAGGGAATAAGAAACACAGAAATCAGCACTGTCACTTGATCTAATTTTTATCTTTGTAAACCGCAATAATCACAATACCTACCTAATTGTAAAAGAATTTTCAATGTTTAAATTTGCGAAGAAATTTTTAGTGTGCTTTTAAACAGTAAAATCAGTTTCGTGCACGAAGTTTATTATTTAAAAGTGAAAAATACAGTTAGCTAAGTAAAAGAATCGAAACTTTTACAGAAAAAAGTCATTGTTTATATATGTAAAAAAAAAGTAGTAGAAAGTTTCATAGTCTAAAAAAATAATAGGGCATCCATTTTTTGAACTAGGAATAAATTCCATATAAAAATTTTCATATTTAATTTAGTATATTTTAAAGCTGTTTTTTGTCAGTTTTTGTGCTTTTGTTTTCCTTTTTGAAAAAATCGAAAAGCCCATAATTTTTCGTCAATTTTAGTTAACAATGAAATTTGACTGACAAATAACAGAAATTTATTGTGCCGTTGTGAACTTCAAAATTTCATATTGGTGAAGTAAAATGATTAAAAAGCCTCAAGTATTCAAAATTATTTAAAAAAATTTTCATATTGAAAAAATTGCAATTTCAAAGGTGTCAGTTTTTTGCCAAATTTCGTTCATCAATAATGTTACAAAATTTAACATAATGCTGTTATAATCGAAATGGTTTATTGAAAATTTCGGAATTATTTTATGTTAAAAGTCAGCTTTGATAACATTGATTTCGTAAATTAAATAGGTATACAAATAAATTTGATTCGACTGTATCCAGTTTTATGTTTAATGAATGTTTTTTTTAATTTATGTATGTGCTTCTCTTGTATTAGTATACATATATTAATTTATTATTATTTTTATATCGTGTAATTAATAAATTAAATTTAAAATTTATTTGATTTTTTTTCAATAATAAATTACCAATAACTTATTGAATTTTTTTTTATATTATAATGTCCTTGATGTTCATACATACTGTATACCAGAATAAATATTTTTAAAATATGAGTAATTCCAAAAATTTTTGATAGTGCGGCCGAAAAAAGAATGAAAATTCACATAAAATTTTTTTAATTTATTTATTTTGTAAATTTTAATCCAAAAATAATAATTATTTTCATTTTATATAAAATATTAATAAATTTTTTGATGATGTTTTAATTCAATGGAACTTATTTTATTTTAATTTTTTTTTTAATATTTTTAAGATATTAATTTTTGTTTTTTCTTTTATATTTGATTTTAAATTTATATATAATACACAGATGAATAAATAAATAAAAATATCCTTTATTTAATTCCTTTATTTAATTAACAATTAATTAAAAATTTTTCATTTAGAATGAAAAATGCTTAAAAGATCATTAAATCGGTGCACATTCACACAAATTGGTAAAAGCGTGTGTGAAAATGTAAGTAAAAATTATTTATATGATTATTATACGGGAAATTTTAATTATCATTAAAATATTATTATTGCACTTACACACACATACACGTTTTCATTTATGATTTGTGCATTTATTTAATTTTTTTTTAATTTTCTTCTCACTTTTCTCTTTTTATTTTCTTCTTTTTTAATTATTAATTAATTTATTTTTTCTTATTAATAAATTGAAGAGAAAATTTCTGTCGACTTATTTCAGGATTTAAATTGTACTAATTACGAAATATAAGCATATACAGCTCCCTTTCTTACTTGATTCACCATCTCACTCTTTCTTTTGTTTTTACTCTTTTTCTATTCTATTATTTTTAATTCCGTTTTAATGATAACAATTTTAAAATTCGAAATTCAATTTATTAGATCACACTTTTTTTTACCGTTCTCTTTTTTTCTCATATTTTTGTTTTCTCTTTTTAACGGATTTTATTCTTTGAATTTTTTTTTATTCCATTTTTTATTTTTATTTTAATATGATTTCTTAAAGAATCTGAAATTAAATTCAAATTTGAAGAATTAAAAAAATATTATTAGAAAAATTGAATTTTTTTTTTTATTAAATCACAAATTATTTTAATTATTAATTTATTTAATTTTTTATATCAATTTATGTTAAGCTTAGAAGAAAAAAAAGACACCAATAATTACAGTAACATGCGATTCAAATAGAATGTTAACGTTTTACGACCAAAAGTTCGGTTTGTACTAACCGATAAAACTTTAAAATGTTTTTAGTTATACGAAAATTCTGTATTTGAAATTCATTGAGAACGGATACGAGCTGCAAAAAGGAATACTATAAATAGGAACAAATAATAAAAAAATGAAAATAAAAATATCCTTTTGCATTCTCATTCAGGATTTTCTTGAATTGGAAGTATTGAAAGTTTGAATGATATTTGTTGAATTTCAAACAAGTTTTATTATGCAACTAGTTGTTGGAAGAGACTTTGTTCTACGACTGGTAGTATTTGTAATTGTTTGCTTATACGAGTATGTAATTTTGTTTTTAGTAGAAATTTTTTTGTTATTTTGCTGTCATATTTGATTATGTTCCTCATTTATGGCATAATCACTAAGAAATATGAATATTTGCAAAAAATAGAGAAAATTCATTAATTGAGTTCTCCGAAGTGAATAAAAAAAAACTTTATTATTAAAGAAAATTTTAAAATGCAATTCAATTTGAATTGACCATTAACAAAAAAAAAAATTTAAATCTATGATTTAAGACGTTACTAAAATGATCGGGTTAAAGTTCATCCAAGCAAACATATTTTATATTGTATTGCGGATGTTACTAGAAGGAGGACTTCTCTAATCGATTTCTTCCAGCGTATTTGAGATTGAGTAAAATTTATAATCCGGTAATAGTAATTTTTACTGTTTCTTTTAGCAATGTACAAGAAACCGTTGTTATATTAATCAATCAACGTTTCTGTTGTAGTCTTAAAATTTATAAACTTTCCGAGTGCATTTGTTCTACTTGTAGTTTGTGTTGACCATAAGTATTGAGAATGTTTACCGTGTTGAGTACATTTTAACACATTTAATATTTACTTATTCAAAATTATATTGCAATTTGAAAATTTGTAATTCAAATGTATATTATAAGATTTACTTTAATTTAATCAATTAATCAATGCAAGCACATTATACATAATATGTATACATATTTACAAGTATATTTACATACATAGTAAGTAATTCATATTAAAATATTTTATGTATAAAAGCAATTAAAATGCATGTTTGGTCTGATGTTCCATTAACTTTAGATTTTATATTTCTCCCTTAACTAAATGTTGCAAAATATTTTAAGAAAACTTTGTATGAACTAGTTTGAAATCGAACAAATAGTATTATACATACACAATTTATTGTGGAGATATAAGGAACGACAAGAGAAAATGATGTTCCAGCCTTTGGAAAGAGAAAGGTAATTTTTATTTTCCAAGATTTTCTAGTTTAAAATATTATATACGGTAATTGCTTTGTTTTTGTAAAACTTTTGGTATGAATGCATTATTGCAACTCCAACGTAAGGCAATCTTTTATTTTTTTAATGTCCATTTTTTTAGTACATGAATAATATTCAAACCTATAGGCATAAAATATTTTTCATTCTACTGCTGTTTAATTTTAATCGAATTAGTATTATTTTTATTTAGAGCATGCTTGGTTACTAGACCGGTTCTTTTTATATTTAAATCAAGGTATAAAAGGACGATATCATTATATCCAAGGTGATTTTGCAAGTATGAAATTAAAATTTTCGTAATAATTAAAAGAAAATATTGTCTTATTAATAATGACTCAAAATTTATTAAATACCGAAATTTTTAGGTAGAAGCTCGAATTGGTTAAAAATATAATTTTAAAATATGTTTTTTTTTGTATATTAGATATAAATAGTTACTAAAGTCGAACCGCACTGGAGTTAACGACAACCAAAAAATTTTCCCAATAAGTATGCAATTTATGGAATATCTGAATAAAAATAGAATCATCAAAGCTCAAAATCGAAATGTTTGTATGATATCTTAAAAATTTAATTTGCCCTTTTCTAGAACATGAAAAAAAATTTATTAGAAAATTTGTTAATGAAAATTTCATAATTAATTGAATAATCAAAAATTATGTAAAATAATTTAATTAGGAGAACACAAACCTTACCTTAAACATAAAAAATTTGAAATTTTAGAATTTTTAATTTTTAAAACAATAGGTAGGTTATGTGATGGCAACACATTTTGCGTATTGAGTTTTCGGTGGGAACTTACTTCTCCATAGTAGGAAAGTGTAAATAACCTATTTTTAGCAACCTGTCGGTCTGTCGGTCTGTGTGTGCACGCGTGTATCTCAAGTTCGGCTGAACCGATTTTGATGAAATTTTATATGTAAGTTTGTTTACACCATGGCACGGATCGATCAACTTTTGGTATATATCAGACCTCGGGAACTGCATTTTTTGGCGGGCCTGTTTTACATTTTTGAACATTTTGAAGAAAATATTCAACCGATTTACTTGAAATTTTATATATAAGCTCAGCTCGACCGTCCGCGAAAATTCCCATGTTTTGGAAGAAATCAGGCATCGGAAACTAGACGTTTACTACGGGCCAAATATACATTTTTGTGTATATAAAGAGAAATAATCTACCGATTTCATTGAAATTTAATATATGAATTCCTCATATTAAAGCAATGAACATATACATTTTTTGGAAAGATCAGGGCTCGAAAACTGATTTGCGGACCGATTTTACATTTTTCACCATATCCACAGAACTAATTGATGGAATTTCTTGAAATTTGATATTTGAGTTCTGGTTGTTACCGAAACTAACTGGCGAGCATTTCAGGGAATTCGGGTAGCACAAAGCGAAACCCTACTAAGAGCCAAATTTACATTTTTCTAAGTATGTTAACTATAAGCTTACTAATGTCCTAAAAATTGGAAAGAAGTATTTAACAGACATTTTTATAATATTCTGTAACACTTTCATTTAACTAGACAATACACATTGTGGTCTGCTATATGCTGACCACATCAGATTTTTTTTATTAATGAGGCAACAGCAAAAGGCTATTTATAATTTCCGATATACTTGTTTTATTTAGATATGGAAGTAATTTCATCATACGAGACATCAATGATTTAAAGTAAACCACTAAAATTTTTCAGTTCAGATGTTGAGAAAAAAATATGTGTTTAAATCAGGGTTTGACAAATTTGTTTCAGTAGTACGAAGTTGTCTGTGAATATTTGTGACAAATTCTTGTCCATTCAACAGCCTGATATTTACTATTATATTTCTATTTCAAATCTAAATGCCCGTTTTTTCATTACGCATGCCATTTTTTCAATAAGATTAAGTATTCATTTGTTTAAACTAAATTTTTTCGTTTTTTCTTCAAAATATCGACTAAACTTTTAAAAACAAAATCAATGGTGACTAAATTTTGTGTAGATTTTGTAAAACTCGAGTTACGAAATACAGAAAATATTTCTCACATGAAAATTAGACTATACGAAAATAATTTACGAGGCACATAATCAAACTCCAAGAGTTAATTTTTGTAGTTTTTTATGTTCACAATGCTGTCACTCTCTCGCACACCTCCTGTAATTTGTTTTGGTCATTTGCTTAATTGTTGAAGTATTTTTTAAAATTATTAGTATTGTGTAATTCACCGCATATAAATTCTAGATATTATGAAATTACTTTAGCTGCACAACACATCCTTTACTCATGATATTTATAATTATTTTAACTATTTTAATATGATTTTAACTATTGAACATGTAGAGCAATAACTATTTCATGTAGAGCAATATGAAATATAAAAATATGAAAAACATATGATTTCTGCCCAAAATTTAAGAGCGCGTATTGTTAATTGTTAAGAAACGGATTATAGGGTACTAACTTATGCAAATGCAGATGTACGCAAATATTGTAAACATGCAAGCATACAATAATGCAGTTTCAAATTACGTAAATAAAAAATTTGAGGTAGAACAAAATAATTTGAAACTATTTCAAAAAATAAATAAAATTTTTTTCAAAAATCTTACATTAGAGTTTGGATTAAATTATAGAAATAATTTTTTCGATGACCGGATACAA